GCCATGGCGCCCGGCGGGTGCCACCGCTTCCCCGTTGCCCGGGCAACGAGACTCGGCTACGCCGGCCCGCGGGAGGCCCCGCCCCGCCAGGTCTCCCCTGAGGCCGCCTGGCCACGCCCCTCTCCGGGGGCGACCACTCAGCGGCGGGGTCACTCAGGGCCGAACTCGTGATTGGCTGCGGCAAAGCAGGGCGGATTCAGCTTGTCCAATCCGCCCGCTCCTCTTTTCCAGCACCCCCCGCGCCCAGACGCGCCGCTGCCATTGGCCGGGCGCCCGAGAGGCGGTGCGAAGCAGCTCGCCCCATTGGCCGCCGCCCGCGCGGCTCCGCCCGGCGGGCGCGCGTCCATTGGCGCGCGCGGCGCGGGGGCGGGGCGGCGCGTGCGCGCGGCGGCGCGGCGGGCGGGGTAAGATGGCGGAACTGGGCAAGAAGTACTGCGTGTACTGCCTGGCCGAGGTGAGCCCGCTGCGCTTCCGCTGCACCGAGTGCGCCGACATCGAGCTGTGTCCCGAGTGCTTCTCGGCCGGCGCCGAGATCGGCCCGCACCGCCGATGGCACGGCTACCAGCTCGTCGACGGCGGCCGCTTCACGCTGTGGGGCGCCGAGGCCGAGGGCGGCTGGAGCAGCCGCGAGGAGCAGCTGCTGCTCGACGCCATCGAGCAGTTCGGCTTCGGCAACTGGGTAAGGGGCGCGGGGCGGCGCGGGGCTGGCGCGGGGCTGGCGCGGGGCTGGCGCGGGGCCGCGGCGTTCCCGCGGGCAGCCGCGCTCGCCGGGCGCCGCCGCCATGGCCTGCGGGCCTGTCTCCCCGTGCAGGAGGACATGGCGGCGCACGTGGGCGCGTCGCGCTCGCCGCAGGAGGTGATGGAGCACTACGTGAGCATGTACATCCACGGCAACCTGGGCAAGGCCTGCATCCCCGACGCCATCCCCAACCGCGTCACGGACCACACGTGCCCCGGCGGCGGGCCGCTCTCGCCCAGCCTCACCACGCCGCTGCCGCCGCTCGACATCTCGGTGGCCGAGCAGCAGCAGCTGGGCTACATGCCGCTGCGCGACGACTACGAGATCGAGTACGACCAGGACGCCGAGACGCTCATCAGCGGCCTCTCCGTCAACTACGACGACGAGGAYGTGGAGATCGAGCTGAAGCGGGCGCACGTGGACATGTACGTGCGGAAGCTCAAGGAGAGGCAGCGGCGCAAGAACATCGCCCGCGACTACAACCTGGTGCCCGCCTTCCTGGGCAAGGACAAGAAGGAGAAGGAGAAGGCCCCCAAGCGCAAGATCACCAAGGAGGAGAAGGAGCTGCGGCTCAAGCTGCGGCCCCTCTATCAGTTCATGTCGTGCAAGGAGTTCGAGGACTTCTTCGAGAACATGCACAAGGAGCGGGTGCTGCGGGCCAAGATCCGGGAGCTGCAGCGGTACCGGCGCAACGGGATCACCAAGATGGAGGAGTCGGCGGAGTACGAGGCGGCGAGGCACAAACGGGAAAAGAGAAAGGAGAACAAGAACATAGCGAGTGCCAAGAGGGGCAAGGAAGACGGGAAGGAAGGGGAATTCGCCGCCATCGAAAACCTGCCTGGGTTTGAACTCTTGTCGGACAGAGAAAAGGTGCTCTGCAGCTCCCTGAACCTGAGCCCCGCGCGCTACGTAACTGTGAAAACTATAATCATTAAAGACCACCTCCAAAAGAGACAAGGAATCCCCTCAAAGAGTCGCCTCCCCAGTTACCTAGATAAAGTCCTGAAGAAAAGGATTTTAAACTTTCTAACAGAGAGCGGTTGGATATCCAGGGATGCCTCATGAAACGCAGCCCACCTGAACCCCGCTCCAAGGCGCGTTGTGGCCTCGAGGACTCCGTGGGTTTTTCTTTTTCTTTTTTTTTTTTTTTTATTTTCTTTCCCCTTCTCTCTCCAGAGATTCAGAAATTCTCCTGCTTAAAACAGGCTAAAGAAGTGAAAGGCCCCGTGGCGCCCGCGCTCTGGGCTCGGACGGCCCCCGCCGCGGCCGGTGGCGGGAACCGACCGCGCGCCCGGCCGCCGCTCGGCGGCTTCGGCGCCGCCGGCACCGCGGCTTCTTCCTCGCGTGACCCGGCCCGGGAGGCCTGGGGCTGCGGGGTCCGTGAATGGCTCTGCTCCCCTGGAGGTGCGAAAGAGTTTCTGGTGAGCGAGACGCTCCTGTCCCCTGGTTTGGGTCTGAGGTGACAGCGACGYGGAGCCCTGTGAGCCCAGCCCTGGTGCCGATCCCAGCTGAGCCCGGAGCCGGGGTTAACCAGCATGCGGCAGGTTTGGGAGTGGGGTTGGCACTGGGGCTGGCTGCGGGGCTGCACCAGGGCTGCCACGGGCTCCTCGCGGCAGCTGGGAGCCTCGGGGGCCAAGTCCCTGCCTGCTGTTGTCACCTCTCGAGGGGGAGAGCCCCTCCGTYCCCGTCCCTGCTTTCTGAGCTGTGTGGTCGGGAGAGCTGCCTCTCCAGAATGTGCAGGGAGGCCCAGGGAAGTTAAGGGGATCTCAAAGCTGGTAGTGCCTGTGAGCTGGGGTTGAAAGCAGTGGTGCTGCTGGGGTGGGAATGCGAGGTGCAGGGGGCCCTGTGGWCTCTGTGGCACCTCGAGCCGGGCGCTGCCGTGGGGAGGGCAGCGTCGCTGCCCGCYGGGCGCTGCGGAACTGCCCAGGTGGCACCTGCTGTTGTGGGAAGGAGGCCAACAGGTAGCAAGGGCCTTTTGGTGCAGGTAGTTCTGCAGTCCCCGTGCCAGAACCGAACCAGGTGGATGGAAAGATGGAGGGTGGCGTGTGGCAGCGGGCATGGGGYGTCTGTCACTCGTATAACTGGTTTGGTTTTTTTCTTTCCCCTGGCCTTTTCTGGAGCAGGAGCAGGGGAGGCCGGGCAGGCAGCTCTGGAGCACGGCCAGGCTGGAGGACAGAGCTTGGCCCGCTGGAACGAGCAGAAACGTAGCCATGTGTGGGCACCCTGTGCTGCACCCGCCGAGGAAGCCGCCAGGGCCCCAGCAGCGGCAGCTCTGCCTCTTGCCAGAGGTTTCCTGCTGGGAGCTGTGCAGCTTTCCTTCAGGTCGTGTGTCCAGCATTCCCAAACAGTGTTAGCAGGGAGYGTGGGACAAAGGAGCACGGTTGTAAACCAGCATTTCCAAGGGGAAACCAACTCTAGTGCCTTTTTCTTTCGCGCTTGTGTCGTTGCATCCTTTGAGAAAGGAGGGGGCTGTGGCCCCTGCTCCGCGCCGGGGCTCCGCTGGGGACGGCCGCGCACTCTCCCGCTGCCGCGAAGGCTCGTGGGCAGGTGCAGTTTTTTCCTCAWATCTCTGATTTTTATATTTCTACAGCGCTTTGGCACATCTGAGTCTAACTGAAGCAATAGTCCGTAGCCCAGCGTAACAGTAACTTAAAGGCTCTAGGCACCACGGAGTCACTTGCGTTCTCTGCACATGAGTTCTGCATTGCCACTCTGTAGTCTTTAATTCCTCAGCCCCCTCCAAAATGTTTCCTTGGTGCTAGACGTAACTTATTGAACATCAAAATGAATGTAAAATAAAAGTATTTTTAATGTATGAAAAAATGGATATTTATTTAATCCTTGCAAGTAAATTCAAGGTAGTAAATGTTTGCTTTAGCAAATACTAATCCCTTGGAAAGGGCTTCCCTAGCAGCAGTGTCTCGGTGTCAGCTACGCTTTTACCTTAAGCACGACTTGCACTAGAGGATGCTGCTGGTCCATATCTTCCGATGGACCTGGTTTAGTCTGAGCATTCCTTCGAGTGAGCTGCTGATTATTTTTTTATTTTATTTTTTTAAGCTGATACGCAGTTATCTTAATCCAGCAAATTGTTACAGCTCTGCTGCTTCTCTTCTGTGCTGCAAGGGCTGGAACTAACGCTGCAGAAAGAGCTCTCGCGTTTCCCGGCAGCGCTGCCTGTGCTGTGCCAGTGCCGCAGCCTTCGCCTCGCTGGTGAGCGGCTGTGCTCTCTCTGTGCTTAACCTCCTAATTAAAGCTCTTACTAACGGTATCGCCTGTGCTGGCAGTGCTGCTGTAACGCCCAGGCTGTGCCCGCTCGCAGCGCCCTGGGCCTGGTCCTTGTGCTGCTCGTGCGGCTGCTGCAGGGCTCCTGCTTGTTGAACAGCTCCTGGCAGGGGGTCCTGCCGGGCAGGGGCTCTCCAGCCGGGGCAGGTGGCACCGGGAAGGAGGCGCCCTGTGTCCTGGCACCGCCAGCGGGGCACCCCGAGCTCCCGGTGGTGAGGATGAYGGTGATGATGATCATGGTGATTATGCACACTCAGCATTTGGCTAGTTCTGTTTTGGGATAACTATTTTTTTTTCATTGTATACTGATAAATAAACTTGCATTAAAGTTTCTTTCCATAATTGATTAACTGGTAATGTAGCTTGTGTAATAAGGAGAAGAGGGAAGGCTTTGCCAAAGCAACAGTGTTGCCTTTTACCTCAAGTTCTAACCTACAGCGAGTGAGCTTTACGACTGGGACTAGCGGAACCAGAGGTTTAACAGGGGCTTCCCTGGCTGCTCCTTGGCTTCTCCGCTGCCTTCCTTTCATCCTTCCTTTCCTCAGAGCTGCCCCGGCCGCGGAGGGCAGAGCMCACGGTGCCCCCAGCCCTGCGAGGGGCTGAGCGGTGGCCGGGGAGCAGGAACCCCCTCAATCAGGTGTTCAGCCATTCACTTGAAAGSTGAGAGTTGGAGTGTCTGAAGCTGTACCCTGAAAGGGGCAATTCTGCTAAACAAAGGTAGCACTAAGTGATAGCTCTGTTCTGAAGGAGAGATTTGGGGCAGGAAGTGACAAATGGAGGCTACTACCCTACAGAAGAGGGGAAAAAAAAAGCTCTACTAGGGAAGTTATTACTGAGTTTAGTTTAAATGTGTTTTTTCYTTAAGGGGGGCCTTTTTTAATAAGGCCAGATTCCTTAAAGGCATAATGTAAAGTTAAAGCAGGGTTCCTGCTTAAAAATACAGAAACATTTGCTCAGTCCTCCTTCACACACCTCCAGGGTGCTCTAACACAGCCGGGAAGAAGTGGCTTCCAGAGGACATGAAATCCTGAAATCCTTTTCCCCTAGGTTTATTTTCTCCCGCTTTCACATTTCATCCCTGTACTCCATGAAACCACTTCTTAGTTTGCAAGAAGCTTTATGCAGACTTCATTCTGCCTCCCCTGCCTAGTCAAAGCAGGGATTTGGCTGCTTCAACTTGGGAATTAACAAAGCCTTGAACTGCACTAACCCCAAAGGTGACACAGGATGCCGGGCAGTAAATAACAGGGTGACTGCGCCAMGGCCCTGCTTTTCAGAAGCAATCCTCAAGCGGAAAGATAAGAACCTTAAACCAGCAAAACTAGRAGGGGGGAAGGAGGGACATTCAGCTGAACTTTGCTGATAAAAACTTCAAGTTTCTATCAGTGTTAAACTTCTATCAAGGTTTATCAGTGTTAAAGGGCTGAGCTCTGAGGATGGAGGACAGACGCTGTCAGCTGTAAGGCTGGTCAAGCCCCATCCCCTCCTGCCAGATGCCTGAGGGCTGCAGAGCAACACGGACACTTAAGAAGCTGCTTGTAGCTTAGCCTGACTTTTGCAGGGAGGAGTAGGTAGAGTTAAGCACAACAAAAGCACCTTGAAAATTAAGCTCCTAGAAGAGTAAACCCAAGAAATAGAGATAAAACTCAGTTCACACCTTGAACCACTTAATTATTTATGTAATTCCAGCAGGCAATAGGCACCAAACTCTCAGCTATTCACTCATCTGGCTCTTCTGAATTTCAACAGGGCTTCATATAGACKGTGCAGAACAAACTCATTGCAAGGCTTGGAACTTACTAGCAAAATCATCTCAACCAATTTATACAATCTTTAATTAAAAATCCAGAGAGAGGATAAATTGTGTAGGTTCTCCAATGCCATACAAGTATTAGATGGTTTGTGAGAGACAGCTTTAATATAGAACAAAAAGGACCAAACAATTACAAGAGATGCCTGCTCTCCGCTGCCCCTTTGGTACAGGTCAGAATTCACAGGTGGCAGGTTCCGTGYTGGGAGAGGCTCTGCTTCGGAGGAGACCGTCCCTGACAAAAGCCACGGATCACATGAGCACTGGGAGGCTGCTGGGCACGTGCAGAGACACSGTTATTTGCACCCACTTCTCTGCAACATCAGACCCCACAAAACAAAAGGAAGTGTTTGAACAACTGCTTGGATTTTCCCTCCAAAAACAGTGAGAAACACAAAACGTAAAAACTCTCATGGGTGTTTTTTCCTCCAATTTAATGCACGTGCAGCAGCACTGACTGTTGACTGTTACCCGAAGCATCAGAGGGCCTGAGGGCTTTCACCCCCGCATGTGGGACTAGCGCTCATGGGACACGGTGCTGTCGGAGGCCCCGAGGCAGCAGGTTCCATCCTTGCTCCATTATCCGTGGGCAGCTCCCCGGTGGTTCACGGAGCCCTCTCCGGGTGCGGAGGAGGGAGGGAAGGCAGACGCAGGAGGAGCCGCGGGCCGGCGGGGCCGCTAGGCGCCCTTGACGACACCGACGAGCGCGGGCCGCAGCGTGCGCCCGTGCAGCTTGTAGCCCATCTTGGAGACGAGCGCCACGGTGCCGGGCTCCTTGCCCTCCACGGGCGCGTGGAACAGGGCCTCGTGCTCGTACGGATCGAACTTGGCGCCGACAGGGTCCAGTCTGAGCAGCCCGTGTTTTTTGAACACTTTCTGAATCTGTACTTCTGTCATGACAAGCCCTTCGTATAAGCTCTTCAGATGAGGGTTCTCATCCTTAATTTCTTCTTTCGGGACGCTCTCTGTGGCTTTCTCCAAGATGTCAGCAACTTCTAGTAAGTCCTTGCAGAAGCTCTGAATTCCTTTAAAGAAATAAAAGAGGGAATGGGATTCATCCAGTAAATGAAACAAATGTTCAAGAAGAACAGCAGCAATAACCTGTATATTTTAAGATTTGCAAGGATAATAATATCCAGCAGCGGGGGTAAAGCGTCCTTCCCAGTTTCASACATTATATTTGACTTTACTGTTCCTTACAAACCACATCCCCCTCCTAATTCTGTGGGTTAAAAAAACAAAACAAAACAAAAATCAACTTAATGCTCTGAAGAGCTGAAGCTGGGCTGGTGAGCTGACCTTAACAGTTACATTTATAACCAGAAGTGACCGAAAACATCAGGTGCCTTCAGGTCATTTCCTCATGCKGAGGAATATATTTTATGTCTGTTCTCATCTCGGGATCTGCTTGAAGTCCAAAGCTCTGTGTTGCCCTATCTCTGTATTTCCATCTCACGTGTCATGTTTTTAATTGCATTTTCTGCAGCATTTTCTGCAGCAAGAAGTGATGTGAGATTGGCAAGGGAGATGCCTTCACTTGCCACAAAGGAGATCGAGGGGGACGACCGCAAGATTTAGAGGGRTCAACAGGTTCTCAGGAAAAGGAGTCACTTTAACATTCCTTAAGACTCAATCTTTCCATAAAACAGTAAGTGACAATGTCCAAATAGTTTTAAAAATATTAAATTAATATTTGTTAGTATTTCAAATATAAAAGCTATGGTTAGGATTCAAGCAACTATGCCAACCACAGATGAAACAGTTGTCTCATCATCTGAATCAAACCAAACAAGTTTTTCAGCAGATTTTTGCCTATGTTACATCTGCAGACTTTGCATCTCTATGGACTTAGGCAAATCTCAGAATTTAATTTCTCTTCCCTTAACAGAAAAAGTCACATATTAATGATGCTGATCTGAAATGCAGTTTTCATAATAAATGTACTTATTTCTACTGAAGCACCTCTGACCTAGGCATGGCTCAAAGCCCTTCCATGCTAGAGATCTTATTATTGAAAAAAATGGGCATTAAAAATGAACTTGAGGATGCCGCATTCAAACACCCATGAAGACTGTGTTAGAGTACCATGTAACGGGGAAAAACCTTTTCCTCACAGCAGATAATAGCTGATGACCCTGTCTTCCACATTCAGAATTAAACTATGCAGCTGGGAACAGTGGTTGGCAAAAGAAGCAGATTCCATTTTCTAGTCAGCGCTGACACTGCAGCACTGAAATGCCACAGCAGGTTCTGCTGCAGCATTTATACACAATCTGTTTTACATCTCTGTGTCTGAATCATAAAAAAAGTMACTCAGACATTCAAGTTGTCAGCCWGGCCTTGGAAGAAGGATTTGTGTTAGTGCTCCTCAAGGCCTGTCGCTGAAAAAACCCAGTTGCTTMGATTGTACTGCCTGGGTTTGAAGGCTACRGCATTCAACAGAGCAGAGAAGTCACCAACACTTCAAAAAACAAAAACAAAACGGGGGACAGAGCAGAAGGAAAAGCTGCAAGTTTGAGGCTGCCTGTGAAAAAAGAAACTCCAGGCTAAAACTCTTACTGAAAAACTCCCAAGCATGATACACATTGTAAGAAATTAGATACTAAATTCAAACAAAATTCCAAGTTGTTGACCTCAACAGACCAATTACCACCCTTGTCTAGTGAGACAATTATAATTCTGAGACAAAATCAGCTTAAGCRAATAAGTAACTACTTAAATCTTTCTGCCTCGAATATGTTTTTGATCAAGCAGCCCCAACGCTCRGGAGGTGGAAGTTGTCAAAGCTGCTGCTGGGCAGCTCAGCTGGTTGGTGAGCGTGTTGCAAAGGGCATTCTGGGCTCGTAGGAAGACACACACACACAGGGTCTCCACTGACCATACAGCTTTGCCTCTTCCACCAGCTTCTGGCTTCTTTGCCTCACGTTTTCTGCATCTGCCAAGGCTCGTTTATACTTGTCCTGAAGGAGAAAACATCGTTACAGAGGTGATTGTTACACGTGTTGGAGTGCTCATCAGTGATTCAAATACATTTGCTATTAAACAGCATTTTAAACCAGGACATGGCCCAAACCCTCAGTTTAAAGATGAATTTAAGACAGTGTGCCAAGTACCRCAGCACGGCTGCTCCACGGGCAGATGTGGCCTCACTGCAGTGCAGSCACAAGGAAAGCAGAGGCAACAAGATGGGCTTCTGTATCTGCTACAAATTAGGCTGGCAGGAATTTTCAGCACTAAGGACAAACAAAGTTTTGTGAACCAGGCTTGTACTTTTCCTGATGTTGGCTTTCATCTTAGGTAGCCAACAGAAAATAGAAACATTCATAGCAATGTTAAATTAAACCTCACTTGGTCCTTCAGGGCTTTGGAAGGGCATCAGAAAGGAATCTTAACCCCCTTATGATTCCTCGCTCTGTTTAGAGGAGATCTGGGGTTACTTCTCAGCGTCTCAAACGTTCTTCATAAACTGCTTATCCAGAAAAGCCGTATCTTTGGTTAATCCACATGTTCCATTTCCTTCCCTCGCTGCTGACATCACACCCGGGAGGGAACACAAGGCTCATTAGGCCAGAGCAGAGGAGCAAGGGTTTAAACTCCCTTTCTCTAAACCCTTTATCAGTGAGTTATCACATGAAAGCAGCTGCGCTTTTGGAAACCTCGTTCTGTCAGGGCACACGCAAACACCTGCTCACTGACACACTCCGACCCTTGAAAGGATTTCCTGGATGTTACCGCAATGCCGAGCCCCAAGCCCGAAGCGGCGCCACTCACATGGACCTCCCTCAGCTGCTCCTCCAGCTTCGCCTTCTCCTCGGCCAGCAGCCTCTCGGCCGCGCTCGGCTCGGCCTTCTGCTCGCTCGCAGCGGGGCTCTGCTCCTCCTCYGCGCCCCCGCCCGCGTTCTTCTGCGGCGTCGCCACGCACAGAAGGCGCGGGGAGGTCCTGGAACTAGAAAAATAAATTAAAAAAAGAAGAAATGAGGAAAAAAGGGGGGGGAAATGGCTCGTTAGGACGTTACGGAGGTGCGGCGCCGAGGCGGCCGCAGAGGGTCCCGGCGGGGCGCGGCGGGCGC